TACAGTAGACGAGGCTGAAGACTGCCTTTATGTCACTGGGTAAGAAAGTCAACTCTCGTACAAGACAGCTGGTTTAAGGGTAACTGACCTTGACAGTGGAAGAGTCGACAGGTATTCTAATTAAATACTTGAAGTACATGAAAGTTACGATCCCAGCTCATTTCACCTTAAAATCATCCAGCCTAATGATAATCTTATCTAACCTGACCTAACCTAGCCTCTACGTAGCGTTAGGATGGTTAATTATCAGGTGACATAAACTGGGGCTAATCTTCAGGTGATCGACTACCTGTTTATGTAAAACATCACCAAAACATCTTCAAAATTTAACCCAATAATGCGAGGATTTACGTGAAAAACCCTTCAAATGTTTACTCCTACTCGGTGGACATATGTTACGTAATCCTCATAATAAATACGGAATGGACGGAAGTACTGTACGTATGACCTGACAGGCGCACAATAAATATGCCACTCTCTTCCCCTCCCCTTCTGCACTACTACTACTACTACTTTGTTGTCACTCGGAATCGAGTATGACGATAATCAAGCGATGACACAATGGCATGAGTTATTAGTGACTCGAGAGGCCGATACGGGACCGGCAGAGCCGTCCGCAGATGTTGCACGTGTGGAGGGCTACATGTATGGCGGGAGGGGCCTTATAGGCATTGACGCTTGTCCGCCTCGGTATGCAGTCGAGTTAACTCGTAAGTATTAACACCTCGTGTAGTGCTCCTGCAAACGTTACGGCGTGGAGTGATCACCTCCCTGCAGGTGTGGGAGTCGATTTGGCACTTCTTCAGGTTTGTTTTATCACCACCATCACTACCACCACAACCCTCACCACCACCACAACCAGAACAGAGCGGATAATACAAAATGATGAAGGAGAGACTTTGCGGCACGTGTGTACAAGATAGTGTGTGAGATAAAGGTGTTGGGGGAAGACTCCTCAGGTACCTGTGACACCTCGACACAATGAATGAGGCGCAATTAGCCAGGTGGAGCGGAGGAGAAGATGTAAGGGAGGAAGCGGGATGAAATGGAGGGTGGCAGAGAGAGACAGAGGGATGTGTTCGGGAGGTGGAGGGGCAGAGAGAGTGAGAGGAAGGTGTCAAGGAAAGGAGATGGAGGGTGCGGGTGAGAGAGGGTGCGGGTGAGAGTAGGGAGGTATACAGGAGGCAAGAGATATCTGGCGAGGGAGGGGAAGGGGGACAGACGACGACAGAAACGTTTTCAGGTTTTCCATTAGTCTCCCATCACTCGCCGGAGAAAATGGAAGTAGTCGCTGTAGTAATGAAGAGAGAGAGATTCCCCCATACCTCATACACCATACTCTTAAGATCTCAGGTGGTGGCGGAAGTGTCATGTTTTAAGCGGTGTGTCCCCGGCATACCTCAACGATGCCCAACACGACATACACACACACACACACACGCCCACGCCCACTCTTCACGCCCTCACAACCGAGCTGAATGGTCGGTATTTCCTGGGGTGACGAGGGGAGAGGGGAAAAGGCAGAGGGGAAGGGACGGAGGTGGGGGGGGGGGTAGTGTTGGTGGTGTTAGCTAAGATGTTTTCATTTGGCTGAGTCTTTGAAGATCATCCTCACTACTTGTTGCCCCGTGGTCCCTCTTGCCAGGCTCCCAGATAAGGTTCAAACACAGTCGATAGCTAAATAGGGTCTTACATCCCAGCCATAGCGACACTACCTAACAAAAAAAATGCACTTAATTCTTTATTGCCAAATGCCACATACGGTTTAAACACAGGTGAGAGAGGAGACGGGACCCTACCACTTTGGGTTTACTTCAGTATCTCAAAATGGACTTAATTCTTTAATGCCGGGTTACACATAAGGTTTAAACACAGGTAGACGGGGCCTTGTATTATGGGGTTACGACAACGATGAAAGCAAAAAATGAACTAGTTTCTCTAAGTCTAATATAAATACTGGAAGGATAGTGTCTGCAATCTGACCCGTAACACAGTCTAAAAAATAGTCTACAGTTGAAACCCTAATTAACAACAACAACTAATGAAAAAACACATCACAGGACTGGTGTGTCGATGTGATACACCAGTCCTCGGATAGTCCAAGTGTGTGTCGATGTGATACACCAGTCCTCGGATAGTCCAAGTGTGTGTCGATGTGATACACCAGTCCTCGGATAGTCCAAGTGTGTGTCGATGTGATACACCAGTCCTCGGATAGTCCAAGTGTGTGTTGATGTGATGTGTGTCAGTCCTCAGGATAGTCCAAGTGTGTGTCGATGTGATACACCAGTCCTCGGATAGTCCAAGTGTGTGTCGATGTGATACACCAGTCCTCGGATAGTCCAAGTGTGTGTCGATGTGATACACCAGTCCTCGGATAGTCCAAGTGTGTGTCGATGTGATACACCAGTCCTCGGATAGTCCAAGTGTGTGTCGATGTGATACACCAGTCCTCGGATAGTCCAAGTGTGTGTCGATGTGATACACCAGTCCTCGGATAGTCCAAGTGTGTGTCGATGTGATACACCAGTCCTCGGATAGTCCAAGTGTAATGTAATGCTTCTTGAATATATACAAACAAAACCTCCAGGCAAAGCATTATGTCCTGGTAGATTACGACAGAAAATTATATTCGTTGGGTTAATCTAGTTTTAAGCCGAGTCGGACTGGTGTACTATGAGCCAGCAACACGTGTACAAGGGGGTAGAACGGAGATGTTATTACCACGGTCTCTTGGCTCCATTATGTACTGGGATCATGACGGATGGTGCAGTTGACAGAGCAGGTAATGAGTGAGTGATTCTTCTTAAACAGTTATAAACCTGGTGTCAAATGTGGTGTCATAGATGATTATTATTAGTACTAGTGAGATGTAATGGGCCCCAACTATCACTACTAGGGGGAGGGGGGGGGAGGAATGGGTCTCAACTCATAATAAAATGGCACGGCCCCTAAACAGTGCTCAGTCCGCCTTTGCTCTTGAACATATTCAGTCAAAATTGTCCTTCATATAAACACTGTATCCCAAATCCCCAAATGACAATTACACGCACACGCACACACACGCACACACACACACACACACACACACACACACACACACACACACACACACACACACACACACACACACACACACACACACACACACACACACACACACACACACACACGCCTTCCATCTCAATCAAGAGAACACAAGTAATGTCTCCAGTCTGGCTCTCCTGCTTGTCCTCCTGGCCCTGCTGTCCAGCTCGTCTATCAGGGGCTCATTACCCCTCGTGATCGGGCCGAGAGGTGTCTGTCTGTCAATTCTGAGTCAGTCCACGATGAGCCATTCCAGAGGGTTTATTTCTTTCGCGAGATGAAAATGAAGCGATGAAAAAAATTAACCAATAGACTTTGGTTGAAGTAAGTGGCGCGATGAGGAGAATGATGAGAACTGGAGAAGATTGAACCTTTAGTGAGGAGGGAGAGGAATGGGGGTAGAGTGTAGAATTGAACAGAAGGAGCAGTAGTAGTTAGGCAGCTAATAGTTAAGAGGGCGGGAGGTTGAGGGTGAGAGGAATGGGTAGAGGGAGGAGGTTGAGGGTGAGAGGAATGGGTAGAGGGAGGGGGCGAGCTGAGGGTGGAGGGAATGGGTAGAGGAGGGGCCAGGGGTTGAGGTGAGGAGATAGGTGGGAGGCGGGAGGTTGAGGTGGAGGGGATGGGTAGAGGAGGAGGGCAGGAGGTTGAGGTGGGTGAGAGGGGAAGGTGAGGTAGAGGAATGGGTGGGAGGAGGCAGGAGGTTGAGGTGAGGAATGGGTAGAGGAGGAGGGCGGGAGGTTGGTTGAGGGTGAGAGGAATGGGTAGAGGAGGAGGGCGGGAGGTTGAGGGGTGAGGAATGGTGGGAGGAGGGTGGGGGAGGTTGAGATTGAGAGGAATGGGTAAAGGAGGGGGGAGGGAGGTTGAGGGTGAGAGGGAAGTGAGTTCGAGATAATATCAGGTAAGACTGTCGTGTGGTGGCGGCCTAGTTGATAGCAGGATGACGCCTGGCCTGACCGACGATTGACACACACACACTTTTCTCCTCGTACCCTTTCACCTATCGAAGCCTTCCTCGTCTCCTGTATCTCCATGTATGGCTACTATACCATACAGAGAACAACAATTTGCGGACAGCTGCGCTTGAGGGCAAAGAGGAGGTGGTGCGGTGAGCCAGGATGATGGGAACAAGTGCCTCAGTATGTGGGCTGCGGCTTCATCTACCGCCAACCCTCGCCAATTCTCTTTTTCTCTATCTCATTTTTCTCTCATAATTACGCCGTATATGCTTATCTCCGTCTTATCGCGAACATATTAGCTTACAACTCACAAGTTATGGGAATTCTTAAAGGTCAGATGAAAGAAGAAACACAAAAAGATTAAACTTTCTTCCATCCCTTCATTGAGCCAAACATAAACGCGAAGAGATAACACAAACACGCACCGAGAAACAAAGGTGCATTGGGGCATATGAAATCATGGAGGTTAAACATATTCAATGAGGACAAATGAAAACGCGAATAGAAGGTACTTACGCCAGAATCATTTTGTGAAGATGGTAGAGGCAGATAGCCATACCCAGCACCAGCCTCCACCGAGAGTCTGCCATTGTGTTGGTGAAAATAAACTCCCAGATACTGTCGTACACCCATTCACGCGACGGACCATCAACACGGAAGAAAAATAGTCACTCCACTTATGAAAACATCGTCGAAAACAAAAGAGCAACGATGCTATTATTGTGGGGCTGAAGGTTATAATTGTTTGTGTATCAGTGAGCGCTAGGTGTGGCCTGTGTATTGAGGTGTAGCTGCTGTATTACTTATATGAATGTGTTTGAATATTTGAGTGTATCCCAAAATTTCTAAACGCACGCACGCACGCACGCACGCACGCACGCACACACAAACACATCCTTTCCTTTCCTGCCAGAAACCCTAATGAAACAAAATAGACACCAGGGGGGTGTTACTCACTGAGAAGTAGTAGCCGTCGTGATGGCAGACACCTGAAAGTAAACAAAACAAATATTATACACAATAAACAAGACTGATGATGTTTAGTTTTCCATATTCCCGCCATTACTGAACTGATTAATTGTGTTTTTCCCCGGTGAGGATGTTTTCCCAGGTGTGTTTATGGCCAACAGTCGTTACTGCCTTGACTGATGATGTTTTAACGCGCTGAGCGGATCTTTTTCTCAAATGAGGAGATGCAGAAAGGAGTATATGAACGACTGAGAAATATGTATTTATGTTGTAACACTAGCGATAGGGTTTATATGAATCAATGATATAATAATAATAATAAAAGAAACTGGTGAATTTTTATGTATAATTATTTTGTAAAATTAGTACCATCCACGGTATACATATAACACGAGTGTGTGTGTGTGTGTGTGTGTGTGTGTGTGTGTGTGTGTGTGTGTGTGTGTGTGTTTTCCTTATGCATTTCCACAGTACTGAAGATAAAACTGAAATTTGGTAGGGAGATGGGGAGAGCCTGGGGCATGGTCGTGTACACTCTCCTGTCCCTCCCTGAGGGGCGGGTTGGCCCCCAGGGGCCCACCCCTAACACCCAACAGCGGGTCGGTCCACAGCTTTGAAGATAGTCAGCTGAAATTTGGTAGGGAGGTGCGGGAGGGACAGGGGGATTGTCGTGCACATCCTCCCGTACGTCACCAGGGCGGGGCCGGGAGACTCAACTATAGTGTTTATAAATGAAAGAAAAATCCAGCAATGCTGAATGATTATTTTGGACAAAGGGTATTGTGGTATAACTATTTTGAAAAGTGGTGCATAAACCTGTATAAACATTGTGTAAAATAGTGTTACTATGGAAGAGATTCTCACAGTAGCTACTCATGTTTCATTCACTTCAATAGTCAACCAAACTCATCCACCAACTCCCTCTCCCCACAACCACACGAGTAACACAACATATAACCCCTTAAGTCACTTACCATATAACATCAACCAAACAGAACCAACAGCGAGTCACCACAATCAACCAATAGAGTCGTTCAAAATCATATCAATCACCACCACCATTCGTCACGGGGCTACAGACCAAACGCGACACTGAGTGATTTTTTCCTCTTTGTTTTTTAGGTGGTCCTTCTCCACTTAAGGAAGACGTGGCGAGGGACCAACTTTGTCACGGTCAGGTTTTTGGCCTGTGTGTGTGTGTGTGTGTGTAGGGGGGTGAGTGATGGAGGGAGGTGAGAGATGAATGGAGAAGTATGATTAAAAGGGAGGAGAGAGAGAGAGAGAGAGAGAGAGAGAGAGAGAGAATGGGTGACTAGGGTTAGATTATAAGTGGTTACGGTGAGAAGGGTAGGTAGAGGGGGTAAGATGGGGGTGAGAGGGGGTAAGGGGAGGGGAAAGGGGTAGGAGAGAGAGAGAGAGAGAGAGAGAGAGAGAGAGAGAGAGAGATATGCCTCCACGTCACGGTTTAAAAGAATGATGGCCAGCGAGCGACATTCTAACCCATTCTAACCCATGCCTTTGTAAAGATTGAACCATTCCTCTGCACGTGGATTAAAGGAGGAAGAATGGGACAGAGGAAATGAGAAAACGGATAAATAGGAAGAAGGGAAGAGAAATTATCAGTAAATACAAGATATAATTTAGCACGTGAGGAACAAAAATCATACGTATGTGACAAGAAAAGAAAATAGAGTTATAAATATGATAAACGTGGAGAAATAATATAGACGATGAAAGAAATGAAAGGGAAGGTGATAGTAAACACTTGATCAATGTTAGAAATAAAAATAGATGAGAAAAGTGAAACAGTCACCCCGGGTTGAGGGAGAAACCTAGCACTGCCCAGCCAATAAACTCCTTGGCGAATAGTTCATAAATTACCAAACATTGAGATTCGAAAGAGAATTCTAAACCAAAATAATGACCAGCTGGAGGTCATAAAACAAAGGGTAAATTAGTCGAGCCATACGTCAGGAACCGCCTGAAGACGGGAGGAAGGAAGGAGAGTTGAGGAAGGTGGCTAGCAGGCAGTGGGCGGGTACAGGTGAGCGGCTCGAGTCATAACCGACCCCATATACGGGATCCCGACACTAACCGACGCAAACACTCCGCCTCGCTTCCTTTGCCTTTACGGGGTGACGAAACCCATTCTTGAAGGGAGAAATTTCATTCTACATTTACTTATTTCTAGTATTTGTTATTGTAACCAGTAGCAGCGGCTGGTTAACTTAATTATCTTACTGTAATCTTCGTACAAGTGAATAGTGGCAATTTTCATTTACGAAAATTGCCATCAAATTTTTTCAAAATATTTAAGTCGAAATAAGTTACAAACCATAAAATCAGACGAAAATGACTCATCAGCAGTTCTCCCTACACAACCATCTACACACTTTCGACACTTAGGAAAAACAACAACTAAACTGTGTCTTATTTTAGCACCAACGAGCCACAGTGATACATACTCAAGTGTAGTGCCTCAGGGGGTGGGTGATGATACTGTGGCCGTACGCTGTGTTTATGAGTGGGTGTACAGAGTATTTGCGTAGACATTCCTATACGCTTTCGTAAGTGTATGTTTTGTTATTTGTTAAACTATATCCACAAGGTGAACACACAAGCATATCTACACAATAACCTGGCCACGCTGTACACGTTTGGGGACAATGGATGGCATATCTGACAGTGTGTAAGTAATGTAAACACACACGTCACAATTTATATGTTAAGTTAGACCTGACTGGCCCAATCTTGAGGGCTGATTGGCACACTCAGACGACAACTAACCTGCACAACAAAAGCCGCTATTTACCTACACTGTGTTCTGGTACTAATGAACTATTCACCTGCCCCGGGGTGTACACTTTTCTCTGTTTAATATCGTATCTCATTTGTGTTCTATTCTCTGCCCTAGTTTTAAAGGCATGTGTGTGTGTGTGTGTGTGTGTAAACGTAAATAAACAACCAACCGTTATCGACCTAGTGTGCAGCATGTGGTCAATACACTGCTGGTTGGAGTCCTCAGTACCCCAGTTCGTTTGAGCGAGTTACCCCTGCAACCGGCATTGTTTTCTTTGGACATATGATCACCCGATAAACGTTACATCGCTTATACTGGGTTATTTTATTTTATAAAATTTTTTTATTCGAGATGCCTAAATAGTTATTATATTTTATGATGCGTAATAACAAGAACGTAAGTATCAGGTACATGGAAAGTGACGAGGATTTAGAAACACGTCTATAAGCTGAAGAAGAAGAATAACAGCTGTCAGAATGGCCACCAAAGCTTTACTCTTCTAAGCTTCAGCGACAGTTCCTTCAAGATACCAACCACCCGGACGGCTAGTAAGCTGATAAGTACTGACATGCTAAATTAAAATAATAAGTAAATACAAAAGTCAAGACACAACTGGATACTTTTAAGACAGTTCAGCGTCGATACAGTACAGTCGAGTGTCATGACGGACGAACAAGGTGAAAAGTCTGTTAATTTCCTCCCTGTCAAGAACACGTACAAGGTATTAGTTAATTACCCCCACATCAAGAGGCCACACGAGAGGCTCTTAACAACCGGGTGATTACGAGTCGTTAAAGAGGCGGGTCGAGCAGCACGTCAAGTAGGCACAACAACCGAACTGAAGTAGTCAATGACACAAGCTACCCTGCCGCCCCCACCACGAGAGAGAGAGAGAGACTAACAAAAATAAACAAGACCGAATGACGGAACAAAAAGACAGACAACAGACAACAATACAGAAGACGAATAAGAGAACCATAAACCGTAGACTATAACACAATAATAACAGAAGAAAAGGGTGAAAAAGACAACGGATCTCCTGGAATTTCATTTTAAAGCGCGCGTAAAATTCAGCCATTTGTTGGGAGGTCCACCATCCCTAACACACACACAACACACACACACACACCCACACACACACAACACACACACACACAACACACACACACACACACACACACACACCTGGAGTGACACAGACAAATAAGAACTTCGGTAAACATATAGTCGCTGGAGGTTGATCACTCCTTTGTGTTGAGGGACTAAAGCCTTCAGGAGTCAGGGCGGTGAAGGAGGAAGGGTGAGGAGGAGGAGAGGGTGATGGAGGAGGAGAGGGTGATGGAGGAGAAGGGGGTGAGGGGGGTGATGGAGGAGGAGGGAGGGTGATGGAGGAAGGAAGGGAGGTGTTGGAGGAGAAAAGAAGTAAAAAAGGTGGAGAAGCATAAACGGACAGTGGCAATAATGGAGGAAGAAGGAGGCTGATGATGGAGGAAAGTCAGAGAAGAAGGAGAAGAAGAAGAAGAAGAAGAAGGACGATGGTAGATGAAGAGGAACAACAAAGGAACGTAGATAGAGTAGAGAGGTGAAGGATGTAGGTAGGAGGCAGGAGAAGGAGAGAAGATAGAAGGAAATTGTACAAGACTGAATAGAGGAGAGAGAAAGAGAACGGAAGTAGACCAAGAGAAGAAAAGAATAACAAAAAGGTGAAGTGTTGTGTGTGTGTGTGTGTGTGTGTGTGTGTGTGTGTGTGTGTGTGTGTGTGTGTGTGAGTGTGTGGTCGTGCCTGTATGCATGCGTGGGTGTGTTTGACAATCTCTTATCATTTGTAATGGATTTAGTGAGTTATGGTAAAGGTATGTGTGTGTGTGTGTGTGTGTGTGTGTGTGTGTGTGTGTGTGTGTGTGTGTGTGTGTGTGTGTGTAGTGATGGGTGGTGAGGGTGGTGATGGTGTGGTGACGGTGTGGTGTGATGATGGTGGTGTAGTAGCAGTGGTGTTGTAGTGGTGTGGTAGTGTTGGTGGTGGTGGTGGTGGTGTGGTAATGGTGTAGTGGTGGTGGTAATGGTGATGATAGTGGTAGTAGTGCTATTTGTTGTGATGGTGTTGTTGTGGTGGTGGTGGTTATGGTGGTGTTAACTACAGATACAAACAATTCCTTTCTGTTCTTCCTTTCCCATTAACCTCCTCCATTACAATCTTCCTTCCCCCCATTCATCTCCTCC